TAAAAGGAACAGTGGTAGGAAGGCCTCTGATCTGTCAGCCCAAAAGGAAATTAGTTAGGGCAGGCTGGAGCAGGCTTAAAAAGGGAGGAGGGGGGCAGGGTAAAATGGAGTAGTGGAAAAAGGGAAGCATTTAGGATATTGAGGCAAAATGAAGAGGATATTGAAAAAGGTCATAAGGGGATGGGACCAATGCTCCTGAAAGACCTTAATACACTGCATCCTCTTACAGTACATGCAGAGTTCAGCTTGTTTTACAGAGAACTGCAAAGTGACTTTTGTAGTGGTTAGAGCTGCCCCGATAGGTAACACCTCTTACTTGTTTCTGAATGACCATGAGAATAAACTCAAATTAAGGATTTAAAAGGATATGTAAGTGCAAAATACATAGCAGAGAGTTTACTTAAGCTGTTTCTGCAAGTTACTAACTGCTGTGTGTTTTACTTCCCACCCTTTTTGGTAGAAGTAGGGATTTTGCCAATAAATTCTGTGTTACCATTAAAGAGGCCATTCATCATGCTTACTAATGTTATTAATCAAGATACACCACAGTACTCTTAAAATGAGATCATTTTGATAAATCATGTATGACATGAAAAGACTTTATTCCTTTTAAGTGCAATTTAGACTGTAATTTTTTTCCTCATTTATGATTCATGGGAGAAACATGGATAAAATTCCCTTGCACATTTACACCTTATCTTCAGTAATAATTCAAAACTGCTCTTAGATGAAAATTCAAGGGCTGATTCACCAAAGCTGAGTGCCAGCTCATTATTTTCTGGCATTCAGTAGTCCAAAAATAATGTCCATACATTAGGTGCTTTTCACAATAGTTGAATTTGGCTGCACACCAGACATATCGATTACACTCAATTAAGCCTAAATGCATAAGAATTATCTGATGTTCATTTGCATTTTTGATCCCTGCTTTCAACCTTGCAATTTAACATTAAGTGAAAACCAAAAGGTAAAGTAAATTCAAGTGAGAAGTGATAATTTCTCTTACAAGAGAATAAGGGAATGCTTTGAATTTGAAATGCTTTGAGTCTTAAGCTCCACTACTTCTGTTAAATGTGAAAAATTCCTCTTTCTTGCTAAAGGTTATTGAAGTTAGAAGGCCAAAATATCAGATCACTGTTCTTCTTGTTGTCCTAATACTACAATAATTTGGCTACTGTATTAGCATCACATCCGAAAATAAGCTGCTGAAATATCTGGAATTAATATTTCCTAAGGTCATACTCTTGCTCATAACTAAAACACTTGTATTATTGATTAGATTTAAAAGTGTCAGAAGTGGGGAATTTTTTTACTCCTGTGTTTAGAAATACAAAAATGAAATGTCCAGTAGAGAGATATAATTTGGATAGCAGAATAATTTAAATTTTACTTTCTCAAACCATGATTCAAAGAGGATTGTCTTGTCCGAGTTCTCCCTTTACTTCCTTCAACAGCTAAAATATTTGAAGGAACTTGTGTGGTTGCCAAAAATAGCGCAGCATTTTTTTTTTTAATCACTGGTCTCTACAAATTTGTTTTGATGCAGCAGATGTACAGTATGTCCTGATACTAGCCATGATGTTCCCTTACTAGTACCATCCAAGTATTGCATTTTTTTATTCCTTGAAAAGTGGAATTCAGGGATTAAACAGAATAGCTTTTATTTTTGTTTAGTCTAATTAGATTCCTCCACTCTTGAGAGCTGGTTGTTGGTGTGTGGCTGACAATTTTCTTCTAAATGGGTTATTTTTTTTCTGTTCATTAAAGTGACTCTAATTTATGCTGGAGTTTAGCAAAGACAACTGCTAACTCATGGCTAAGTCTGCTTGGCTGTGGAGCAAAGAGAGTAGGAAATCTCCTTCCACCAAGACCAGCCTCCTTTCCTGGCAGGGGTGCTGTGCCACCTCTTGGTTTTCCTGAACATGCCAGTGTGTTGAAGTGGGTGACAAATATGAAGAAAGGTGCCACTGTTTAGCAAATGTTTGGTTATGTGCATAACAGGGGGGCTGTGAGTAGTCTAACTTTGTCTTGTAAGTTTTAAACCACGTACTATGATATACTGCCAAACTTGAATGACTTCAGGGTTTGCAAAACTACAAGCTTCTTCTGTAACAATAACATTAGAATTTCTTTACTGAGTTATTTTGTGACCTGTTCCTATAAAATTGAAGCTACCAACCAGTTTAAACAGCTTTCCTCAAAGCTATTTGTATGTATAGTTACTTTCCACTGCAAGAAGAACTTCTGATGCATATATCACCAATACTTGAAGACATAACTGTCACATGTCAATGCTGTCACTGTCACAATATTCCTGTGAATATTAAGAGTAATGCAATCTATACAAATCTCTTTGGAAAATAGCTTAGGGCCAAATGTCAGTATGTGATAGAGAAAACAAATAGTTGTCTTTCTGCTGGTGCACAGGCTTACTCAGAAACGTGATTTGAAACTTGAGCCAGTGTTTGTGCAAAACAATCCTAACCCTGGATGATATTCCATAGAATTAAAGTTGCTCTAACTGAATGCTTAGCTCAAAGGTAATGAAAATTCTTCTGTATTTGACAGGGAATTATATACTGTACATAAAATAACAGAAAAACACCGATAAACAAACCCTTCTCTTCTTGTGTTTCCTAAAATTGGAAATAAAGCTAAATTGCCCCTTCACTTCAATATCCTTTTTAGAAGCTCTTGAATTTTGCTCACTCAGTGGTATATTGCTGAAATGGCAAAGTCTCTTCCAGTAATTTTAGGAAAAGCTATCATCAAGCTGTCAACAGTCTAAATTGAGATTAAAAGTACCAAAGAGAAACCTTCACTATTACCAGAGTCCCAAATAAGTACACTTGAATAGGCAGATAACATCTAGAGTGTACAGTATGAGACCACTTATTCTTCCAGTTTTTTGAGTGATTTACAGGCATGAAACATGATGTTAAAATAGTGACGTTTTTCTCCTTTTCTTACCCAGAACTACTCAATCCAAAGGAAACATGTAGTTGTGAACAGATTCCTGTTCCTGGAATTAGTTTCAAATATCACATAGCTGGGTCTAAGGGGTTTCTATCTCTCCTCTTACATGTTATGTGCCCTTGGCTTATATTGGCCACCAGAAAGATTTCCAAAAATTCATAGTCCAGAGCAGTTTGAGCTGCAGGTTTGCAGTTCACCAAAATCAAGGTATGATTCATTCTGGCTGAAGGTGAAAGTTATGTCTGTAGCAATATGTCTCTGAACAGGAGGTTCCCTGAAAAGGGTTTCTTATCACTGGTGAGTCAGCAGAGGCAGGATGTTCTCTATTTTTATTCATATCTGATAAGTAGCGTCCTTGCTGTTTAGGCAAATTTTCCTCTGTTATGTTCTATTAAGATGTTTGTTTTGATGCATTATGCATCTTCATGTTGTGACCTGATTTTTCCAAGGGACAAAGGTGGAATTGTAACTATGGTTTGACATAGAAATTGATGGCTGGTCTCCAAAAGCAAAATCTTAGTATGCTAATCTAGCCAGTCACCTCTTAACATTTTATGTACTATCATTTAGGAGTCCAACAGCTACAACAAGGAAGATTCTAAGTTACAGCCTTTAACAAACTATTATCATTATTAACTTTCATTGTTATGTATTTCTGATTATTGTTCTTGGGTTTGGTCTGGTAATTAAAATTTGAATCAGTGCTTCTTCTTCCCCAAAATACTGTAGCTCTATTTTATACTTTTATATTAACCAGACATTGGAGACCTGGGGGTTCATAAATTTTGAGGATATGTTCAATTATAAAGTAAGTAGGATTGAGGTGGATTCCTTTGATTGACTTTTGCAGCTTAGAAGTCAATATATCATTAGGGAACAAACTACACAGAAGATAGCAATTATTTTCTCAAGACTCCCTTTAGTGAATTATCATGAGATTCAAGAAATAGTTTAGCTTTTGTATTGTCTCTTTATTTGCCTTATTTTTTCTATTAGAAATTATCATATAACTTACAGTGAATGCTGTCCTTTGTGTCTTCTATTTAAACACATCATCTTTTTATATCTGTTGAAATGGGTAGGTTGTAAATACTCCAGAGCAAACTCTGTATCTGAAACTGAACATATCACTACTGTGTCACCAACCGAAGTTAAACTGAATTTTAAAAACTGACAATGATTCATATTCACCAACACAGTTCTTTATTTTCATGTCTTCTAACTGCTGTTCTGTAACTAAAAAGCAAGAGGGTAAATGTGGCTTGTTTTAACTTTATTTTATATATATTTTTCCTTCAGCTGAAACCTCCAATGGAATGAAGGTTAGTTTATTGTAAACTATAGTTCTTCAGTCTAATATTTTAAAATTAGAATAATAGGATTTCGAGACTTATTAGGGAGAAAGATTTGGTGGCTTCTCCCTTAACACTTTGCTTTTAAGGGTTCTGAGCAAGTACTCTTGGGTACTTATTTCTTTATTTAGACTTCTGGTGTAGGTTTTTAGTGTTATTATTAACAATTCTATATAATTGTACACTTTTTTGCATTATAGGCACTATAATTTTTAATAAATCCCTTCATTTAGCTCACTGGGCAGTGGAATGAGAACATAATTTGGGATTTTTTAATTTAGATTTGAAAAGGATAGTATCTAATCCAACTTCCTATTTTCGACCTCCTTTAATTTGTGTGGACTCACTCATAACTTCCTTTAGGTAAATATTAACCCGTTCCACCAAGAGGAAAAACTTTGACATTGCCTAAAGTTTTCCTGACAAAGATGGTAATTTTTTTTAAGCTGTCAGCTGTATAAAAATATTCATTTAGTAATGATGCATAATACCATTGTGTAAACTCTTGTGAGTACAGCAACCTTGAGGAATGGCAAGGAGCCTTAACAAAAACAAATTAATCCTTCATGGCTGGTAACTCCGTGCACCTGCAGCACATGCCAGCAGGTGCATCCGCTCTGCCTGGTCACTGAGCTCCACTGGGGCACTGACAGGGTTTGTTTTGTCGCACAGGCCTCCAGTGCTGCTGCCCCTGCCTCTCCAGAGATGCACTACACGCCGCTGCCTTCTGGATCCAGGGACCTCACCAACCACAGAGGTGCGAGCTGCGTTTGATTGCTGTGAGCTGCTGCAGGGCGTTAAGCTTCGCTCTGAGGCCTTCTCTGTGTTACTTACTGCTGCCTTTCACTTTACACAGATCACCACGCCTTTCAAGCACTATATGAGAAAACCATAGCTGTCAAGACTACAGATTTTAACTCATATTAAATAGGATTTACAGGTAGTCCACCGGGAAAGCAAATAAATCTACAGATAACAACACTCAGTGATTTTTCTGTGTGTGAGAGAGAAAAATGTAAAAATATTAGAATACTTAAACATTGATAAGTAGATGATTACATGCAGCATTGGTAATTTTGAGAGAATTTGTAAACTTTTTAATATTTTTAAGTGAGAGGGTTTTGGCAGTTTAGAAATTTAGGACTATAATTTTTAAATAATAACACATATTCATTGCAACAAAAAGGGATTCTTCTCTGTTTTTCAACATTAAATGTAGATCAGTTTTCAATTTCCTTTTTCATCAATCCTTAGAACTTAAGAAAGCACCTTGGGCAAATTCACAAATTCCTACTGCATACCTATGAAACAAAAAATTCAGGGTAAGGTGAAAAACTAAAGCAGTCAGGAAGGGTGCATTCCAATCTTTTTCACTTTTTTCAAAAAGGAGAAATTTGTAAAGCCTGCAGCACTTTTTCAGCTTAACACCGGAGCAACAATCTTCTTATTTGTTTCCCACATTACCCTTTGAGTATACATTGATCGTGTAAACCATTTATCTATAGGCAGGGTTTTTTTAGGATACCAGGATCAAAGTCAGCCTTATATTTATGAATTGATGGTAGCTTAATTTTAACGTGTGTTCAAATTTTGCAGCACTACAGAGGATGGAAGCAGATTTAGTAGCATTCCATATTACTTGATACCTTCTGAAAGAATCAGGCAGGTAATGCACCTGAAGAAGGATCTGTGGTTCAGGTGTGAAGGATGAGGAAAGCAGGTGATTACAACTTTATTTGTTGCAGCCTGTATCACTGTTGTTGTGCTAGAGCTGAGGATGAGTATGAAGCTTCATCCTGGCCTTGTTGCAGATTGCTGTGGTGGAAATCAGATGTCCTAGAAGTGCTCTGGGTGCGTTGTATTCCAGCACTGAGCTCGCATAGAAACTGATGCTTTTTAAAGAGAAAGGACCAACCAAAATCCTGAATTTGGGCACATACCTGGACTTGGGAGATTAAGAAACAACCTCTCTCCCCCCAAAAGAAACACAGTGTCCCTCCTCTTCACCCTCCCTCCTCCTCCTCATTCTCAAGATTGGTAGCTTTGATTTTTCAGATAAACATGTTGCCTTTGGTGTTGGCTTAAATGGATATGGTCTACTAACACAATGCATAGGATGCTAGAATCTTGAAAAATACCTGACTGCTATAGAAATACTTTCAAAGTACCCTTAAAAGCCAGGTATCTTCAGATTTTTTATTTAGATAATAGTGTATTGGAAGTGTGGCTTCATGGCTGAATTTGTTATCTAATTTGACAAAAGAAATGCCAGTGGTGTTGAATCAAAATCAGTGTGTCTGCATTATTGATTGACTCCTCTTTCAATTCAACAGTTTTGTGGCTGCAGTAGGTGGTGCAGACACATCCAGCAGGTGTTCAGAGTGGGAGCTTGCCAAGGTCTAAGTACCCACTGTCCTCACCAGGTTTTCAGAATGTCTGCCCCCTTGCCATGAGAAAGGAAAATTATATTCCCCAAATCACCAACATTCTACCCTTAGCAGTTCACATAATTTTTATTACTTCTGTCTTTACTCTTCCCAGAAATATTCTGCTCTGCATACTAAATATGCTGCAAATTTCCTTGTGATTAAGCACCTTTATAAATAAAGTGAAGGGAGAAGAGCATGTCATCCAAAGAAAGTGTAAAATTTGTCCTTAAAGAGACATTCTTAACATGATTTGATAAATTTATATATTTGTGTGTGTGTGTGTAAATATATACACATATTCACAAGGAAATAATTAGGGACACTTTCCAAACTTCCAGGTCTTGGAAGAACCTATTCCAAGCTTAGAACAACCTGTTGGCAAGGCCCATTAACTCAATCAACTTATTTTATACAAAGAAAAAATCCAGAGTTCCCAAGCCTATAAAAGATTAATTGCAGTCAATAGAAAAATCTCCAAGGAAAGAATGAAATACTTAAGCATGCTATTTTAGGTTCTGAATATCTTCAATTTTTTTCTTCACGGAATGCTTTCAGTGTTGTAAAGTAGAATTGAATCAGCTGTTGCATATGTAAATATTGGCGGTTTTCAATGCATACTGGAATGAAGAATGCTGTAATTTTGTGAGTGTAATTTGTCCCTGGAGAAACTTGTTTACCAGAATCCTGAAGTCTGGCAAATGGTTTGGTACAGCTCTAAATTGATTTTTAGGGGACTGGGAAGGGGAGCAGGAGCAAGCTGGATGTATTTGATTGGTACAGTTTCACTTGGACATTTCTCACTCTATTTAGCTATGATTTTTTACAGGGAGAAAAAAAACATATAATTATGTGTGGGTTGCACCGTGTGTCTTACAGCTTTTGTGTTCATGCATGCAGTCTATAATTTCCAGTCAGGATCCAGTTCTTTAGACTGACTCCATACTTTGTATAAACAATTTCAGGAATGATAAAAATGTCACTCTCCCTTTCAAAGCCCACAGAAACAGCATATGACAGTGTGATGTCAGCATGGAATGATATGGAATAAGCACTGCAAGTATTACATTGAGTATTATAATGCTTGAATATATAAATATATGAAGAGAGAAATATTCCATCATGTTTTTAAGCTTTGGAATTTTTTTCCCCATATTGGGAAAGTGTTTTCCCTTATATTACAGTGTTGCTTAGACTCACTTTTCTGAGTTGAACCTTACCTCAGTCCCACTGTTCATATTTTTCAGTGAAAAATCATATTAAATAGGATTTACAGGTAGTCCACCGGGAAAGCAAATAAATCTATGGATAAAGGCCTTCTATTTAGATTTTGGGCATCTGACAGCAATATGACTTGATTCTTTATGTGATCTAATTGCTATCCTGTTAGACAAGACTTCCAAAGTGGTTATTTTATAACTGACTGTATTTTTTTTTTATTCCAAACCAATGATCTCAAACTTCTAAGGATCTTTCCTTGGTCTTTGTTAAAGTAGGATTTTGTATTTTACTTTGTATGGATTTAGAACCCAATGATTTACTTGCGTGAAGTTTGTGCAGTTTTCTCACCTAGTTAAAAGAAATCAGGTCATAGACGCAGCCTCCTGTCATACAAAGTGCTTCTTTTGTTTCTATATTCTATACATTGCTTCTATTTTTCTAGCTTTCAAATTTTCTGGTGAAATCAAATATATACACCCCACATTCCTGTCTGCTTTTTCAGATCTACCTTTAATGAAAAAGAAAAACCAAACAGAGCAGTTACATATTGCAGTTTTTAAATAGAAATGGCCATACTTCACAAAAGTGATGAAATGTAGTGACTTTTAGAAGAAATTGGCCCAAAAATTTTGGGACTTATGTAATTTTTTTAGTGATTTTTATATATGTACCCTTCTATTCCTTGTTGATAATTTATTAACTGGGTACATATCTTTAAATAGAAATGCCAATTCTTAATATAGTTGTCATTGATGAAAAAGAAATTTTAAAGTCAGAATAATGTACTTGTAAGGATAATTTGTCTGATTTGTGGAAAAATGCCCCTCACCCTTCACCCCACTCAAGTTGTATATTTGTTTTTTTATAATGGCATCCATTTTTATAAGGATGTGCCTTTATATGTAAGCATTCAAACTCAAATTGCCTTCTAAGAGGACAGTGCTTTTCAGTTGATGGGGAAAATAGTAATTTATCATTCTATCTCTTCAGAAGCAATATCACTAAATCATGGCTATCATGAAAATATCTTTTCCCCATACAAAAACATGTGCTGGATGCCTTTTGTATAAGCAGTTATTTTATAACATTGTCTATTACCTGATTTACTTGGAAACATATTAATTTGCCAAAGCCATTTGGTTTCCAGTAACAATTTACAGCTGACTCCTCCTTTTCTTGTGATCTTGTTTCTGGGAAAAACCTGTGGTAAGTCTGCCCCATAGCTTACTGGTAAAAGGAAGAAGAAGCAGTTTCCATTACAAACTTAGCCTGTACTTATGTAAGTACTTTTTAGAACCTTAGCTTGGATTTAGGCCAAGGTTTAATAGTTCTAATCTATTATGACTTGTAAAAACTTTCTGAGCAAATCCACTGTCCTGTTTTGGTGTCTTACAGTTAATTTTCCAAACATTCTGGTATGTGCAGTCATTACGGTGTCTTATGTTTGAACGATGAGTGCCCAAATGAAAAATTGGTATTTATTCTACCAATATGTTTCAATCAACTGACAGATGTCTTTTCTTATTTTATGATCTGATCTTGAAAATCATCAACTGCATTCAAATCCCATGCCCAGAAATCCAAGAAGAGAATGTTTTAAAGGTTCTTATTAACCTTCTAAAGGTAATTTTATAGACCTTTTTGAAAAAAGGAAATGAGAGATTCCTCTTGCTCTCAGTTTCTCTTTGTCTAACAGAGTTGTGCTGAAGATTTCTTTTGAAATGAAAATCTTTCCAAATTTTCCCATTCTTCAGCAAAAAATCATAATCATAGAGAGACACCTGAACTTGCAGTGTTTCCTTTTTCTGTGATTCCTATACTATGCTATTTTACCCAGAATATTTGGCATAGTATATTTTCACTAATGACTTGTGTGTTCATACAAAATTCCTCCAGAATGATTGTTGGGGTATGCCACACAGAAAACCAGCTAGTAGCTTTGTAGGAGTTTAGATAAGTACTGATCAAGATAAAAGTGGATTACACACACAACGACAACAAGGGTTTAGCCCATCCAGTTGGGCAGGAATTCACAATCCAGCACATGTCAAAGGATGTCTACTACTTTCAAAATTTGGTGTTGAAGGAGAAAATTAGAAATTTTGGAGAGCCAGAGGGAGTAGTATAATTAAAATGATTATACTCCAAGGATTTATATCTTCTGTCTCAATTTGCTCAACTTGATCATGCTTTATAAATACTCTTAGGTTAATGTGTAACTAATAATGTCTATCAATCCTTCTAGAATTTGATCTAGAGTTTTAATATATCAATTAAAAATATTTGAAGTAAAATTGTAAAATTGACATGCACCTCTTAATAAATGGTAATACACATAGCTCTTATTTTACACATGCATTTTGAAAAGCCATGCTGTCTTCAAATCAAAGACATAAAAACAAAAGGAAATTGGTTTACCGAAAACTTACTTCCAGAAAGATAAGTATGCTGTTTATATTATCATTGTGGTCCTCTCTGTGGTTGTTATTGACACAGTTGTTAGGTACTCATTGTGTTTTCAACCCAGAGGCTTATTTAGAGTTTGAAATTGATTGCTGAGGAAGTTGCAAAGCAATTTATTTAGCAACTTATCATAATTAGTTAGTTTTCTTAGTGTGAACTGCACTTTATGCTTGTCAATTGATTTTTCTGTGTAAATGCATAAGGCATTGTATTCTGTCAAAAAGCCCCAAACCCCAAAAAACCTATGGTTAGTACTTTATCATTCAGTTAACAAAGTGTATCCATATATGTATATAAGACGTATTTGCTTTAACTTACTTAATAACTAAGGATAGGATAAATAAGAAAATTGCAAGCAGATGCACTATGTGAAGGTTCTGTATCAGGCAAAGATGATGTGAATAGTGAGATGTTTTCTTTATTTTACATAAAATGTTCTTTGAAAACATCATAATTTTTAATCTGCATTATGTTGTGGTGTCCTACACTGAAGACTTCTTAGGCCAGGATCTTCTCATCATGAGATGAATAACCTTAAACAAACAAAAAATAGTTCTCAATAGCTTGGAACAGACAAGATCATATTTTCCAGGGAAGGAACACTCAAAAATAAGCTGTAACATTTCCTATTAGTGCCAGGAAATATGTCCCAACAGTGAGATGTGATGTGGTCATGACTTAGCCTTGAAGAAAGTGGGTGGAAATCGTCTTCTTTTGACACTCTGGGAGAATGCTAAAATACTAAGTCTGTTATTAAAAAAAAAAAATTTAAAAAATCCCATGTGGTGTGTCTGTATGAAGTGAAAAACTGGATTCTAGTTCCTTAATATTTAGTTTGGAAAACAGACATTAATGGAAGCTCAAGACACATGGGAGAAGCATGGAAAGCAAAGTGGTGGTATAGATTAGTATCAGTGTGAGAGAAGACTTGGTTAAGAAACGATTCTGTTTTCTGGTCTCAGTTCCCTTTAGCTAAGGGGACATGAAAGCAAAAATAAATCCATCAGAGGTGAATAAGGATTTTGTAGTCCAGATGAGAAGGTAATGGCAGAAACTTAAAGAATTCTGGTGTGAGGTGTTCCTGGTGCAGCTGGGAGAAAGGCGGAGCAGGCTTCTCTTGTTCCTGGGATGGATGGCTCCTGCTGGTGCCCACAGACTCCCCAAAGCTTACACCAGGAGATGTGAATGGTACTGACTCATTTCTATTTATTCAGTGGGCTGCCTGGTTTCTTAGCTCTGACCACGATTTTTCCCTTCCAAGGTGAATTCCATTTTACTGCTTTGTCAGTATTTCTGATATGTTTGCTTTGTGGGGAGAAGAATAGGTAGAAGGAATGAATGGAAGGTGGGGAGAAATGCTAGAAGGCATCATTCCTTTGGGAAGTGTACTCCAGTAAAATGCTTCTAGCTGATAACAGAAGCTCACCTTTATTAGTATTTGCCAAGTCTGCAAATGCAGAAGGCATTTCTCCCAGTTTTGTGAACTGACACACAATCAAAAATTTTACCTGTCAATGGAACTGAGAGGCCCAATACCCACACGTGATCAACTCAGCTCTCAGCTGTGGAGTGCTTTTTGGTGGTCAGTCAGGACAGAACAGGTTAAGGAGGATCTCATGTGGTCCCTTTCCTGAGCCCTACTTTATTTGTTGACTGGAATAGAACTGCCACCAATAGCTGTGCTGTTTGTGGATCTATTTGCCTCACTTGCTCAGTAGTGATAATTTCTGCCAGCATCTGCATGTTTCTCTGTAAAGCGCAATGACTTTCCCAAATGTAGAATAAATTGTAGTTGGATTTGAGTGTGACCTTGACTAATATGGTTCAAGAAATAAATTTTCTGGGTCATTGTATTCATATTCTTGTCACAGGGTCAACAATTTTTTGTCTGTGTATACAAGGAATGTTGGATTTGAATCAGAATACTGTAGCTTATTAAAACTTCAGCATAAAAATATATTATCTTTTTGTATATTGCAGTGATGGGAGCAACTAGTCATGTGAAAGTAAGTTGGGGTAAATGAGGTGGGGATGATAGATAAAGTGATGTGCAGTTTTGTGTAAAGTCTTTCTTGATGGCCAGAAAAGTTAAGATTTGGTTTTAAATGACAGCATATTTTAATTTGTGAGCCTTCTCTATGTTCTGTGGTTTGAAAGTCAACCCAAGGGATGTGATTGAGCTGACCAGAAGTAAGTTCTAAGAGGATCACTTCCTGGTGTGCTGTGTCTCTGTGGGAATAAAATATGTGTTTCTTTGCAAGAGAATTTTAAAAGAAAAAAAGAGAGTAATTAAGTGGTTAATCAAATTCAGATTAAAATGTTATTAAATATCTCAGCTGTTGAGCACAAAATTCCCATTTTGCATCTAATGGGATTTAGTAGTCTAAAACTCAGGTAGACTTTCATAATTGTCAGTATTTTTTTCCTAATATTTTAGAGATTTTCATTTTTCCACAGTGCACATTCCCTGATCTGACTATTGAAGACCTGACAATTTTCCATATTTTTGTCATTCTGAGGTTTTTCATTGTAACTTTTTCCATATTTGCCAAAACTAGCAGTCTAGACCCAAGTCACCCATACAAGTGTCACTTCAGAGGGAATGTGATTAATGAGGAAAAACCCATAACTTCATATTTTTGGTAGACTAGAGAGTGTCTGATGTTTCACAACATAGCTCATTTTGTCATGCTGGCAATAAGAAACCATAAGAATGCTCAAGTAGGATGACTAAAAAGTGGCAGAAATAGATAGAAAATACTGACTTCTATAAGTGGAAACTTGGGATCCAAACCCATAAGCCCACCTAAAATCTTTAGATATATGTAGGAGAGCTAATGATGCAGTGTGTATACAACTGGCAATTAAAAAAAAAATCTAGTAAATTTGCCACTTGGCCTTATAATTTTTTACAATAAAGAATTCCTGTCATCAGCCAGAGTATTATAGCTCTTCCAAAGAAACTGGGTTCAAAGCGCACCAGCGCTGTGCAGATACAGTCTCCTGAGGCGTCCCCATGTTTAGTTAACACTCTTGTCTAGCCTGTTTTTGCAGGAGTCCTCCAGTTTTATCATTCAGGCATTTTTATGGCCTCATTGGAACAAATAAACAAACATCTGGAATCATGTGGTATATTTAATTAAAAACTTTTTGTTTGGCCAGAAATAGTAAAATCATGAAAAATTGCCTGTCTCCAAGCTCAGAAAGGCCAAATGATGAAGCTGTTGGCTACAGACAGTTTTACAATGTATTGAAATTCATAGATATGCACACCTGCTGCAAGTCCCCCCCTTTTTTTTTTGATTCATAACCATTAATGAGTGTTTAGTGCACAGATTGTAGCCCTTGTTTAAATGGGAATTTACTGTTTTTAATAACATATAGACACGTGTTGATATATGCCATACAGCCCTGTACTGTTCTGTAGTACACAGACCGGATAAAGCTTTATATTATTGGTTACAGGAAAAAAAAAAAAGTTAGTCTTTATGGTGCATGTTCCATTTGAATATTTTTTCAAATGAGCATGTTTTAATTCTAGAGGCAGTAAATATCTGCCCCATGCTAAGGGTCTGCGTAGCAAATGTTGAAAATGTGAAAGATGGTGTTTTCTCAGTAAAATTAGAATCTGTAATGAAAATGTGAATTTTCATTGTTACATTTAATGTATTTTTTGAGGAAATTTTCAAGAAACTCTTTCTTTTGCAGATAAAATTGTTTGATGCCATCTGAGATATTACTGTATGGTCACAAAATATTTTACAGACCAGTATTATTTATAAAAACTAATTTGTCTGTTGGGCTACTATCTATTTGAAATGCACAAATATAGGCTTTTGAAGATATAGGACATAGAATTTTATTTTCGAGTTTGTACATCTAGTTTTTAAATAGTTGAGACTTCTATTGTGAAAATAGCATGCACACAGAAATTAATATTGCATCCAAATGTTGTTCGCTGTTCTTCATATTTCTCGTGTTTAAAATAATGTGGCCATTCCATTTTGAGCTCTGTTTCTCTGAGAATTTAAACTTTTTAGCAGGGTAGGATGGATGGAATACTGACCTGACTTTGGCCACTGGCCTGTGGTTGGTGTTACTGACCTGAATGAAGAGGATGTGGGTGTCATCTGAAAAAGCACTAATTCCCACATAGTCAACACATGTAGAAGCCTGCTTTAAAAAATGGGGGAGGAAAGAAATTTCCTCCACAGTCAGAAGGGCAGCCATCTGCATAACAGCAGTGAAACTGTTTTATCCCCTTGTGTGCTTGCTTTTTATAGCATGCACATCTTGCTGTAACATCGATGTGTCTTTCAAACTGTGAGCAGCCAAAAAGATGCAATGTATTTTGCATTTTGTTGTCCACAGTGTGTGCTGTGTAGAAGTGGGTGAAGGGTCCTTTTTTAAATTTAATTTCAGGAAAGAAAAGGGTAACTTTGTAGGATTTCATTGCATGAAAGCTGTCAAATTTTAACTGGATATGAATATCTGTATTCATGATCTAATATATTTACTGATCAAAATTCCTTGCAGAGAGCTCTGAAAGCAAATGATAAGTACATTGATGACTTACTTTTTTTTCTTGTTTTGTGATATTTTTGTGGTCTGTTAATAACCTCATTGTAAAAAAAGTACATAGGAAACCCCATGACATCCTTCACTAACTTTGTATGCCCTTAAGCAGAGACATCACACCTGGGGAGAAGAAAGGGAGGAGACAGAGAGGCAAATAATAAGTATAAACAAGAGCAATTGTTTTATGTCCCTTACCAAACAGAGGATGGCTGATCCTTTTTTTGTTGATATTCATTGTTTTACCTTTTACAGTCTGAATTATCTTGAAAATTGTTTCTGTTTACACAGAATGAATTTCTTTTACTGTTTGATTGACAACACTGATATGTTTTCTAAGTCCCTTTTTGTCTATGACTCTAAAGTGCTTAGTAAACCTAGGCAGCCACCTGAAAGACCCCCCACTTGTGGCTGCATAAAACCGAAATAAAGAATGGAAAATAACCCATTGAGTATTCACTTTCCCACCCACTGAGAGCAAAATGCAATGTAGTGCAATTTTAGTACTTGTGTGCCACTGGGGAAAATAGACTCCTAAAATCACATAGTGAAGCATTGGAAAAATTCAGGGAATTTGTACTAAGCGCTGAGTTATAAAGCCTAAGGAACCGTAGGCTTTGCTTCTCAAGTGAAACAGATTTGTATTGCAGTTCTGTTAGAATGCCTCCAATTGCCATGATGATATTTAGCACAGTAGGCTGAAAAAAATGTAAGGCTGGTGAATATGAGTCCTTTCACGAGAATGCTTACAGAGGGGGTGCAAGCAACCTTCTGTTGCAAGCAACTTAAAGACCAAACAAGACTGCAATCTCTGATTTGGTTTTGTTTTTTTTTTTTTACTTTTGCTCAGTGTCAGGCCATGTAGGGAGGTCTGGAAAGACCACATGTCCCAGGCTGTCTCTTTCAAAACCATTTCTATTACTAGATATGGCTTCTCACATCTAATAGAGAACTAAATTAGTGTTCCCTCTAGCCAGAGAGGAGTTAGAATACGTGTGTATCAAAATTGCAGGGCTACCACACCAATGTGCTGGATTTCCCCACACTAACTTGGCTTCCTCTGCAGCCACCACTGCAGGAACAGTGACTGCAGCATCTTCAGTCAGCTGTGCTTAGGAAAACTGCATCTATCCCAGCTTTACCATTCTTCACAGGAGAGAGGCAACTTTTGGATGGATTTTTTTGCTGAATTGTGAGTGGGAGCAGCCAGGCTTAACTAAATTTTTTTCCATGAGATAAAAGGAATGGGCTCAATGGAAATTATCCCCTGGGCCCCGATGGAAGAATTAGAATCTGTTTTAAAGCCAAGAGGTTGGCAAAAACCCCCTCCACATGCACCAAACCAACCAAACACACTCTACCGTCCCTTCCAAATCCACGTAGTTAATAAATCTGGCAGATTGTGCCTCTCCTAAAGGTAGTGAATGATAAATTTCATGGGGGCTAAAAAGAGAGCAACTTAGAATAAATAGATTACATATAAGCTATTACATCATTTGGAAGCAAGTTGGTGCTGCAAAATACCAGCTATTACTGATGTAAAGTATGTGACAGAAAAAGAAATACCAGGTAAAATAAGGTAAAAAGGAGATATGTGGACATCCACTCAGCTGATAATAGTGGTTGTAAAGTTTACCTCTGCCCTGTAATCTGATGCTAGATAACAATGGCAGTAGAAGTGTGGAGGATAGCTCAAGGAGTCCCTTTACTGTTATTTCCTCTTCACTTTTGTTCCACTGTCAATATAAAAGTAATTCCTTTACCAGGGTGTGTTCAGTAGTAAAGTGAAAGAGAAGCTGTTGGCTAAATTAATTTGTTTTGTTGAAAAATCTGTTTGTTGTAAAGGAGTATAATGACTTTATTCAAAAGAGAATGAGAAAAATAGAACATAATGAGAATATGATGAGAAGAATTAGAACATCAGGAGATGCCACAAAGCAGAGTGAGTTTAACATATTTTTAATGTCTGATAATTCTTTTATCCTGCCAACACTTAATAAAAGTTTGTTTGGGTTTTTTCCTGCTCTGTGTGTTTAAGGAAGATGGCCCTTCAGACACAATTTCTGGATAAAATGAACTAGTTAAGATAGTTCACAAGATTTGGAGATGGCATTCATTTAGCAGATATAGAAATCATAATTCAGGCAGAAGCTGTTCCCATAAGAAGCTAAAACAGGCTGCAATTTGGCAAATAAATAAAGAAAAATGCAAAATATTGGTATGTTTTGCAAAGTAAAAAAAAAAAAACTTCAAAGAGCTCTAGAAGTGACTTTGTCAGTGAGTATAGATGCCAGCTTGCTGTGGTTGATATGGTACCTGGGAATGCACTGAGTGGAAGATGTGTGTAGGAAAAGGAATGTTTCTTTCGCAAGCAGGAATGCACTTGTAACCTCAAATTGTCCATCCTGAATGGAGACAGGATTTTCCTAACAGATTAATATTTAGTATCTAAAATATTTATACTTTTTTTGTGAATGTACCACCTAAAGGAGCCACAGTGTTTCACCAGGGAGCTGAGTCTTAGGCTGTCATTCTGTTTATCAGTAGCACAGGCAGGAAAGTGAAAACCTTGATACTGCTGCTCTGATGTCCTGTGAGTTGTTCAGAATTTGTTCCTATGGACATCAGAGAGCAAATGTAGAGCTGTTCTCCAGCAATTTTAGAAGATGGCAATTTCTAAGGTAGGTTAAAAAGTTGTGCATCACTTCAGTCCCATTTAGAGAATTTGGGAAGGCAAAGAGCATCTGATTCCTAAAATCAGGGCTTGGCAGTAGGGAACCCAGTTTTATGTAACTGTTGTAGCTTATGTAATATGAGTTGTTTAAAATTAAAACAGAATTATTCTGATAACACTGAATGTTAACGGGACCTTTTTCAGAAAATGCTTTTAAATAAATAAAGGTACAAAAGCAAATTCTTATCTGTGAAGTTCAACCTACCTTTCATTGGAAGTGTTTTTTAAGTATGGTGATGGAGCAAAGAATGAAATTAGAAACAAATGCCAAAATATTAATGGTTTTATGTTCTTTTAAGTAAATTAAGTAACACATTCCTTACCTGAAGTTTTACTTGTTCTCTTACTCTTTTTTCTGCATGAGTTTGAAAGAATTTTCTAAACTTCCAAAGTAAACTATTTAATACCACCTTGTAGGTACTTTGAACTGCCCTAATTTATGAATTTGGAGACACTTTTTTTTTTTTTGGTCAAATTCTATTATATAATTTCCTAATTAAAAAAAAAAAAATGTCACTTGTTTCTTGTCCATTCCCAAGTTTAGTCAGTCTAAAGA